ATTTACTGAAGTTTAATATTGTTTGAGTGTTGAGGTTGGGCCAGCTATTAAGAGCTGAAGGGTGTGGGGCCAGCAGGTGGTGTAGTGGTTACGGTGCTGGAATCCCATGGCCGACTGCAGTTTGAGTTCCCGACCTGGTGGCTTTAAATCATGTTAGGCACATGTGTATGCATGCCCAAAATTCCAGGAGGAGAATGGAGGAGAAGGGACTGCAGCATGGCCATCCTTCCTGGGGGGTGATTTCTCACTTTCTCTGGCAAGTGCATGTGTCCAATGGCAAAAACCTAAGTAAACTAAGATTTGAAGGGAACTTAGCAGCAACCTGGTGAAAACTCCATTTTATGAATGAAGAAAATAAGGCCAAGCGAAGTGATATGATTTGTGAAGAGCCACATGGTAGAACCCAGGCCTCAGGACAGCGACTTCAAACTGCTGCAGCATAAAGCCCATGACAGAAGGAAGGAAGGCAAATGTTATATCTGAGCAGCAAAACAGATATTCATTCTAAACCTGGTCTTTGCCCAGGAAAATGCTGGTGGCTATATCCAGCCTTTGTCCCTTTACTGGGCGGCCCCTCCATGAGATGGGTCTTTTCAACTCCTCCTTAGTTCTATCCTATAAACCCACTGCCAGCACTCCTCTGTCTGTGGCAGGTCACCCTGTAGCCCCTGGCAGGAATCGCATCTTGACATTTTATCTGTGGCTTTCTGGTTGATGCCTTAATTAAGTTACCCACAGTATAAATCCGTCCTCATCCCCAGCTCACACACCCCTATGCAATGGGGATGAATCTGCTCTGTCACTTCCTGCTCGGGCAGCGTCTCCTGTCGCCTTTCCTACTGCAGAACAGGACATGTCTCCATGAGCGTCCTGGCCTTGTTCACCCCCAAGTGAACCTTCCCCACTATGTCCCAATCAGCTCGCCGTCAGCTGACCACTCTAAGCCTGAAGTACCCGTTCGGGTCTCACTGACCCAGCTCTGGACTTCACCGTTTCACAGCAGGCTGCAGCGGGAGCACTCTAATGAGCTCTCATGCTGCCATACTCTGCTCTGATGGCAAAGGTCTGTCCCTAAGGCAGAATTCCAGTCATATCATTCTCCTGATCGAAACTCCACGTGGTTTCCCATCACCTGCAAAATAAAACCCTGACTTCTTGACCTGGGCTGTAAGGTGTTCTCGAACTGGGTCTGAATGTCACCAATATTACTGAAGGTCCCCTGGATGCCAGGCCCTGTGCTAGGTCCTGGGAGACAAGGCAGCTTGGCAGGACACAATCCCTGCTCACACCGAGCTATCTGCTCTGAAGTAGGAATGCAGGATGGAAAATAATCACGTGTAACACAGTGTGTGCATGTGTGTGGGCGGGTGTTGTGTAGACTGGGGAACAGATGGGAGAAAAAAAGGTGGGGTGAGCTTAGGGCAGCAATGATGGCAGTCAAGTGCAGCTTTCCAGGAGAAAGGCATCATGGGAAAGCAAAATGAGACAAGTGCAGGGGAGAATAGGGAGTGATGGTCAACGGTGTTTGAAAAGGAGGATCTGGCATAGGCGGCCTGATCGCTGACTCTTTTACCCAAACTGGCCCACACTTCCTCTTTAACACCCATCCTTATCTCCCTCTTGTTTACCTTGCGGGCTCCATTACCAAACCTATGAGCTTCCTAGCTAATTCACTAGAAATGGCCTCTCCTAGGCAGAACTCCCTAAGCCTGTACTTCTATCCCTCAGAACAGTTGCTCGGTGAATACTTGTGGAGAGAATTTCTCTGCCCCTACCTAGCTGTGGTCTCCAGCACCTCACGTCTGGACTAGTGCCGTCAACGTTAGCTGGCCTTCCTGCCTCCTGGCTCTTCCATTCATCAGGAAGACTCTGCTCCAGGGCTTAGCCTGAAGGACTATTTTTACAGTCCCCCAGTACCATGCAGAATGAGGGCTGCCTTTTCTCACCATCGCCCAACTATATTAGGTTAACAATATTCCCCGACTCACTTCCCCCGTCCTTCAAGCTCCAGACCATCTTCCTCTCTTCTCTCATGAGCCCCACCCTTCTCCAGCTCTCTGTTGCCTTTGGGGTCAATGCCACCCTGCCTCTCCAATGGGCAGTGACTCCCTTGAGAGCAGTACCATCTTCCGCCAGGCTCGCCCACTGGCAAAGTGGCAAGGAACTACTGGCAGGCTTTCATGTATCTTTGAATAAGAAGACTCTAGTTTCATAAGCAAAGCTGACAGAGATCACAGGGGAGAAAAACAAACCAGTAACTAAGAGGAGCACCTGAGATACGATGAAGGGGAAATTCACAAAGCCTTGGGAGGAAAGCTTGCCCAACATCTAAGTCGAATCAAGTCAAAACACGTCATTATGTTTTCTTTTGTTTGTTTTACATGGATGGCTTCACTGGAACCCTAAAGAGTTTGGGTTTTGTTTTTTTTCCTCTCCAGGTATGTATCTTTGAGTTTCCACTAGAACAAAAAAGGGAAGTATTTTGCATCACAGTCAAAGGAACTATTGGGGAAAATCATGACGCATTTTGCATAGAAAAACCTTGAAAGATATGCCATGACTTTCATGAAGACCTAATATTTAGAATAGTCTTATTTATCTCTCTTTTTTTTTGGGGGGGGAGTTCTGCTATAGGGCATGTGTGCTGGCCAGAAAGACAGAAAGATACAGAGAGACAGAAAGCGAGAAATCAGCCCCCAGGAGGGATGGCCATGCCATAATCCCTTCTCCTCCATTCTCCTCTCGGGATCTCTAACATGCGCCCGGTGTGAGTTTAAGCCACCAGGTCCAGGACTCAAACCATGGTCGACTACATGGGAGTCCAGCGACATAGCCATTATGCCAAATGCTGGTCCCAAATAGTCTTACTTATCTGTGTGGTTGTTTTGCAGTTTTCTTATTCTATGATTGCAGAAAGAATCAATGATTTAAACAAAAAGTTTCAAGTATTTCTTTTATTTTTTTCAGGAGATGTTTTTGTTTTAGGGCGCGTGCGCTCGCCACAAAGACAGAGAGAGACAGGGAGAGAGAAAGCGAGAAATCACCCCCCAGGGGGGATGGCCACACCGTACTCCCTTCTCCTCCATTCTCTTCTTGGGGTCTTGGGCACACACACACATGTGCGCGGCGTGCGTTTAAGCCTACGGGTCCGGGACTTGAACCACGGTTGACTACATGGGAGTCCAGCAACATAGCCATTACACTAACTGCTGGTCCCAAAGTTTCAGGTATTTCTGCGTTCCTTATCAAACCTTAAAAATTACTTGTTTTCAGGGATATAAAATTTCAAGTTTCAATAGCATCTATACTTCGAAGAGAACTTCTTTCGTATTTTTTTATATAAATGGTCTGGTGCAATTAGGAAAAGCAGGAGAAATATTGTTCTACAGCTTTATTTCACCCCCCTTGTAATGGGGGACACTTCCTCATGATGGTTAGGTTATTAACTTCTGGCAGGCCTCCAGGGGTAAATAAGAGGCAAAGGTAGCTAGGGCTTATGCCAACACCTTATGCAGGAGCTTTGCCCTTTGTCCAGGAAAGAAGGGACTCTGCCAGAGAAGTCATATCAAAGTCAGGGTAGCAAAGAGACTCAATAGAACGATGGCCTTTTGACTTCAATAACTAACTAACCCCTTAAAGAGGCAGAAACCTGAGTCTCAAGTTCTCCTTTGACATAGGAAGTTCCCAGAAGCTATTTTATGAATAACCATCAAGTATAAGAAATGAAATGGAGGAGCATGTCAGAAGTCATATCCACGGTCAGCAGTACACGTGGTAGGTACAAATGCTTGCTACTGAACTAAGTCTTCCACTGCGGTCTTAGGAGTCCTTATATTAACAGATCTTCCTAGTTAGATAAACCTGAGGAAGCAGGACTAGCAGATGGCATAATGGCTATGTCGCTGAACTCCCATGTAGTCAATCACGGTTCAAGTCCTGGACCCGGCGGCTTAAACTCATGCCAGGTGCATGTGTGTGCGTGCCCAAGATCATAAGAACGGAGGAGGAGGGATTGTGGTGTAGCCATCCCCCCAGGGGGTGATTTCTCACTTTCTGTCTCTCTCTCTGTCTTTCTGGGGAGTGCATGTGCCCTATAGCAAAAACTTCTCATGGCAAAACAAACAAAAACAAAACCTGAGGAAGCTTTGTGATTTTGTAGCATTTCTACATGATGCAGTATGTCAAAAGGTCAGCAAAGTGATTTCACCTGAAGTCCTTTGAGTTTATTTCTCAATGTATCTTGGCTACTAGGTTCTCCACAATTCCCTGTACTCAGCTTCAGTTCTCTCCTTTCTACTCTCCTTTCTACCCCTGTTTACTCTACTTCCTCTCTCTTGTCTGTTTTTAGTTGGGAACCTCTACTCAGTCTCAGGCATCTTTTTTTTTTTAACAAGTCTTAAGAATCAGGGGTAAGGTAGAGTGAGGGGACTGGAATGACATATTCTTTTTTTCTTTCTTTCTTTCTATTTATTTATTTAGTTAGTTAGTTTTTTGCCATAGAACCCATGTGCTCACAGAAAGAGACAGAGAGAGGGGAAGTGAGAAATCATCCCCGGAGGATGGCCATGCCACTATCCCTTCTCCTCCATTCTCCTCTCAGGATTTTGGGCATGCACAGACACATCCCCAGCGTGATTTTCAATCTGCATGTCTATTGCTCAAACTGTGGTCAGCCATGTGGAATCCAGCACTTAACTTCCACGCCACTTACGGGCCCAACATTTTCTTCTTTATTTGATGACACAGCAGATCCCTTACGCTCCTTTGTCCATAGGCCTAAACGGATTACCTCTCCTGACTTCAAGCCTGCCTTTGATCTAAAAACATCACAGTCCTCTTTTCCCCTCAAACTGGCTATGGAGGCAGGATCTCCCTTTTACTGAACTGTCCCTGTCCTTGTGATCACGATGACCTCCTATCCGCATACCAGTTCTTGGGCAGGACGAGTGGGGCTGACTGATTTTGCAAGCTGAGCATACATCAAGAGTCCAGACTCTCACCTGAATGAGGAGATCGATAGCGAAAGTCCTCTTTGGTCAGCAGCAGGAGAGCTTTGCCATTCATTTCAAACGTGTTGCTGTCGATTGGCCTTAAAGAAAACTCATTTTCAGCCCACTTCAGCCACTGGGCTACGTCATCCCTGCTCCAGTAAATTGGCTGCAAGCCTGTTGGAGAGAGAGCGAGGCAGAAAAAAAGGGAGGGGGGAAAAGAAGGTCTTGTCAGTGAGAGGGCTGGAATAAAGGGAAATAATCTCTGAACAGTTAACAAAATTAACTCTTTGAATCTCTGTATCCCAAAAGTCCCTTATGTTCAACTCTAGTCCCAGGTTAAAACGCTAGCTTCCTAAATGCTGCAGATTAACTTAATTTAGAGGCAACATGAGCAAAATAATCCTTTTTTACATGGCAGTAGGAGGAAGGCAGCGCTTAGAGCCCCCTGCCCTTCCTTGCCAGGCTCCAGGGCTGTCTTAAATCCAGTTTGGGTGCAGATTGGCCTGAGGCACTCTCAGGGGCTCACATCTCAATGCGTCCTGGAGGGCACCTTTAAATCAGAGCTAATCTGACTGTAGCCCAATGTCCTTTTAAAGTGAGAATGTTCCAGAGTTGAACTTGACCTTCCAGAGCTGCCAAATAATGAACTGTTCCCTGAAACTTCTTCCAGGAAGAGCAATTCACTCAGCCTCTGGGAAACTGTCAGGCTAGTCTCTGGGAATAAGAGGGCAAGGTAAGGATAAAGGGCCTTTTGCCTATTTATTCCACCTGCTGATGTTAGAACTTCCTGGTGGGGCTGGTGCTTGGAATCTGAGTAGAATCAGTGGCCTGGAGGGAGGTCTGGGGGGTGAGACTGAAAGCGCATGCAGGTAGGGTCTCTGGGATCTTGATGATGAGATTACATTTTTATTTTGCTGCTGTAAGAATTTTTTACTATGCCATTCAACATTTTAGAACCATGGTTTTCCAAGGGTGACCCAAGGACCATTGAGGGTTCCCAAGACCTTTCTAGGGTATCTATGAAGTATCAACAGTAAGCGATTCTTTCTCTTTTTCCCTCTCACCCTTTCGTGAGAGTATAGTGGGATTTTCTAGAGGTCATCTGACATGTGGCCTTGTAACAGATTGAATCCAGAAACAGATATGAAAATTCGGCCATCTTCTATTAAGCCAGACATTATAGAGACTTACACAAATGTCTAATAATGCTTCTATTCTACTTGTTTTATATTTGGCTTATTATTGTTCAATACATTAATACTTTTTTTAAAAAAAATCTGTTTTAATTTACAATATGGTAAATATGGTTAGATATAACCCATACAAGCAGAAGCTCTCTGGGGTTCCAGACAATACCTAAGAATCGAAAGGGGTCCTGCGACTCAACATTTAAGAACTACTGGATCAGAAGATGCTAGATGTGCAATAGAACCTCGTTCTCTAACATCGCCTGGTGTGAATCAATAGTTCGAATGGAGCACAATGGAATCATTGTTTGCTAAGAGGAGCTCCAGCCTCTAATACAAGTTCCTTAAACGTGCCAAGGAGACTCCCTGAGTGTTACGAAAGTGTTCTTCAGTTTGATCCTGGAAGAATCAACTTTTATCCTAAACCAGGCATGACCAAAAACTATCTGACCTACTGGCCGGGCTGCTTTTCTTTCCTGTTGGAGAGGGAAACCAATGGCTCAGATCCCCTGGGGAATGTCCAGGGCCTCTGCTGGCTCTGTCTTTTAAGTAGTTCCTTTGCAAAATAGAGTTCTAAAGGTGTAGTTGGCTTCCTCTATCTGTGTGGAAGTCCCCTCAACACAAGTTCATCTTGTTGGACATGAATAATGAACTCTAGGCATTAGAATCATGAAAGATGGGCAGGTAAGAGGTTTTTCTTGGTTTCATAATAACTTTTTTCACACAGAAAAAAGAAGCCCCATTATAGAACAATGATTTGACAAAGTTGTTGCTCTACGGTCTTTAAAATGAAACACAACCACACAAAGATTCCAGGTTCTGTTTTGGATTCTTGGCTAGGTCATGAAAACTGGTCTATGGATGCAGGAGTGCCCCATCTCTTTTCAATGACCTTAAAATGAACATCTAGGGGACCAGCAGTTAGCATAATGACTATGTCGCTGAACTCCCATGTAGTCAACTGTGGTTCGAGTTCTGGACCCGGTGGCTTAGACTCACACCGGGCGTGTGTGCGTGCGTGCCCAAAACCCCGAGAGGAGAAGGGATTGTGGCGTGGCCATCCCCTCTTGGGGGGTGATTTCTCGCTTTCTATCTCTCTGTCTCTCTCTGTCTTTCTGGTGAGTGCACACGCCCTATAGCAAAAACCTCTCAAAAAAA